TGCAGTCGGGCTTTGGCTTTCTGCTCTGGGCCCCAGCAAATCTCATGCCGGCCATGCTTGGCGGATCCCCTGAAACCTACTCGTGGTCCCCCAGAGGTCCCGGGCCCCTGGTTGAGAATCACTGCTATAACTGACTGGGGGGATGGCGCTGAACAGGGAAGAGCCCAACTGGCAAAGACCAGGAGTTGGGGTTTGACATGGGGGAGGAGAGGGAGCCAGGGGAGTGACACAACGGGGTGATGTGGGTGGAGCAGGGAGCCGGGAAGCTCATCCCAGCAGGAGGGTTTTGAACGAACCTGAGGGGGAAGGTGGTTGGCTGTGAGGCCGGAGATGAGAGAACAGGAGTTGAGGTGAGAGATGATCAGGCCTGGGCCCCACAAATCAGAACGTCTGGTTTCTTTTTTAAGTTAATTTTTAAGGGGGGTGTTGTTTGTGCTCCCCTACCTGGGTGAGTGTCAGAGTCGAACCCCCTCAGCAGAACCGGCTGCTCGATCAGCAAACAGAGCCCGGGCTGGTCCTGGAGCCCCTTGCTGGGCGACGAACCACAGGAAAGCTCTCTCCTCCCACCCAGGATTCCTGGTCACCTGAGGACAGGATTCAAAGCCTTTTGTCAGCTCACGGCAGAGCGAGATCTGGTCTGATTTCTGCCCGGTTCCCCAGGGACCCACTGTCAGCGCGGCCCTGCCTTCTGCTGTCACCTTCCCCGGCAACTTGCCTCAGTGCAATAATCCCCAGGCCTCTGTCACGGTTCCCAGGGCACTCACAGCCGAGTCACCTGGTGAACCCCTGCCGCTAGCGAGAGGGAGCCTGGCCTGTGGGGACTGGCTGTTAACTCGCTAACACCACCAGCTCGTTAGCTGCTCAACGCTCTTCTCTGGGCTATGCCAGCCCTGTCCTCACACTGCAGGCTAGCAGGAGGTACACCTCAGTCCCCAAGCCCCCTTGAGTCGCTCCCCTGTGATCCCAGCCCCTGACACTGGCTACTCACAGAAACCCCAGAGCCTCTGCCCCCAAAGGAGCTCTGTGCCCCAGTTTTACCTGAACCCCACCGTACCACCCGCTCCTGTAAACCACACGGCACCTGTACTACAACAGAAGGTTTATTTAAGAAATGACGGAGATTCTACTAGAAACAAGCGAGTGATGGAAATAAATGGTTTTGTGTCTCCTTTTTCCTTCTGTCTAATAAGAGTCTGGCTTAGTCAGCGATTCCAAGCCCAGAAGGGGCCACTGTGATTATCTAGTCTGCCCTCCTGCGTAGCACCAGCCAGAGACCTGCCCCACAATAGTTCTTTTTGAACTAGAACATATTTTTAAAAATCCAGTCTTGATTTAAAAATAGTCAGTGATGGAGAATCCACCATGCCCCTGGGTAAATTGTTCCAAGGGTTAATTACTCTCACTGTTAAACATTTGTCTAGCTTCAACTTCCAGCTATAGGATCATTTTACACCTTCCTCTGCTAGATTGAAGAGCCCATTGTCCAATATTTATTCCCCATGTAGGTACTTATAGACTGTGATCAAGTCACCCCTTAACTTTTTTTTGTTAAGCCAAGTAGATGGAGCTCCTTGAATCTATTGCCATAAGGCAGGTTTTCCAATCCTTTAATCATGCTTGTGGCTCTTCTCTGAATCCTCTCAAATTTATCTACATCCTTCTTGAACTGTGGGCACCAGAAATGGACACAGGATTCCTGTTTATGCATCCCAGGATCCCATTAGCTTTTTTGGCCACAGCATCACACCGGGAGCTCATGTTCAGCTGATTATCCATCACAAGCCCCAAGTCTTTCTCAGAGTCACTGCTTCCCAGGAGAAAGTCCCCCATCCTGTAAGTATAGCCTGCATTTTCTGTGTTCCTAGATGTCATCCTTTACATTTAGCCATATTAAAATTCATATTGTTTGTTTGTACCCAGCTTATCAAGTGATCCATATGATGAGACTATATCATTTGTTTTTTCCCAAATACAGAACAGAAATATTTATTGAACACTTCACCTTTTCTGCATTCTATCAGTTCTATCTGGTAATGCACCACTACCATTGTCAGGATTCTTTTTGTTCCTAATATATTTTAAAAACTTCTTCTTATGGTCCCTATGTCTGCTGGCCATAGATTTCTCCTTGTGGCCTTTGGCTTCCCTTATCAATTTTCTACAATTCCTAGTTTCTGATTTATAGTTATTACTATCAAATTCCACTTTCTTCCACTTGGTTGTGTGTGTGTGTGTGTGTGTGCGTGCGTGCGTGTGTAAAAATGGCTGCCTTCACTTTCCCTCTAAAGCAGCGTTGTTGTCATTTTTTAAACTACCACTGCCTTTTTCCTCAACTGTGAGATTGGGGGTCTTTTGGGGCATCTAGTAAAGTGTTCTCAAATTCTTCCAGATGTGTGAATTGTTTTCAGCTGTGTGAAATTGGTCCTAGTAAAGCACCAGGTATATATATTACTGGTGGGGGATTTGATAGCAGCCTTCAACTACCTGAAGGGGGGTTCCAAAGAGGATGGAGCTCGGCTGTTCTCAGCGGTGGCAGACGACAAAACAAAGAGCCAAGGGCTCCAGGTGC